GTCAGTTTCTAACTTTTGCCAGTACTTTGCGTTCCGGATGAGAGTGAGGCCACAGTGGAAGTGACTCGTGTGTGATTGAGAACGGCGAGGTGAAGGATCGCGGAGAGAGGGTTAGAGTGAGGACTGCCGCTGGGCTCATGGAAATGATGGACGCGTTTATGACAGTAGTTTTTGGCAAGTCGACAAATCTGGAAAACAAGTGAATAAAGCTAGTACAAGAAAAGGAGCTGGTCCTGTAGTCACCTGTATCGTTGTCATGGAAATGAGTTGATAGTGAGATTCATACATGACCTTTTTCTATGGGCTTGGATTTCAGCATTTCATTTGTTTATTGTATTTTCCATAGAAGCCTTTAGAAGTCTGGCTAATGAAAGTTCAGTTTATTTATCAAAACTATTTGTTCCAATACAAAATTTACATCTATTTATTGTTTTCATTTTGATGTCCCGCCCTCCACCGTTTCACCAATCAAAAAGTCCATGATCCGGGTTGCCAGAACTCACCACGTTGAGCTAATTACACTGGTAAAGTAACTAGAAAAGGTCTTAAGATTCTTAAATCGTTAATGTTCAAAACAAGGACTAAAACCAGGATTTATATTGGGGATTCCTTTGTGGTGATTGTGTTGGTTATAGATTTGTTGTTGACAAAACTCTTGTCTATTCAAAACAAAGGAAGGTTTCTCACTGTAATTGGAATGTTTTTAAGTAATCATTTTAATGTAGTAATATGTAATTCAATTAATATGTGGCTAAAATATATTGTATTCACTGTTAGCTCCAGCCACTCTTCTGGGCAACGGGGCTGTATGCAGATGGGACCAGGTCGAGTCAGACTGCCACTGTTTCTTTGATTGATATGCTACATACCAAAGGTCTCACTGTGAAGCTGTTTCTGTGTGGAAGTGGAGGTGTGCCTCTTCTCCTGCTATACTGCTGTGCAGCCTGACTAAGGTCAGGCAGGCTCTGGACAGGCTGAGCTGAACTGTGCTCTGTTCTCTTCAAACATGTTTCCTTGGAAAGCCAACCAAGAAATAAAGAATGCCTGAACTATGTCTTTTGTCCATGTGATTTTGTCAGGATTGACTGTAAATTACAGCATTTACACCCATCATCTGTACTTCTTTGGAAAACCCATCATCTATACTTCTTAGCAGGTTTTCCCGACTATTTGTCCTTAATCCAAAGAACTTTTTAAAAGGAAAATCAATCTCAGACCTTGTCTATTCAGATATTATGGTCTGCATATCATATAACCTGAGTCAGGGAGAGTGTAGTACCACTTTTGGCCAGATTTTTACATATTGCTGTGACAATGAAAACATCTTCTTAGCCTCTATCTGAAACCAGAATCTGCCTTGTTCTCTGTTACATTAACAACACTAAATAGAATTGAGTCAAAAATGTAGCATAAAACATCAAAGCATGTGTTGATATGGGTTTAACGGTGAAAGTAACGGCGGTGATATTATTTGAATGTGGTTATTTCCGTGGGAATATGAACCAAGAGCTTGTGGATTGCTTAGATCTCTCGGTCTCATTTCTGTGATAAGCTCCGGAGTCTGGAGTCTGAGGAATGTTGGCTCTGCTACCACCTTCCTGCTCCAAATCCAAATCTTCTCTAAACTTTGCAAAAATGTGCAAAATATTTACATTTAAAATAGTGTACTGTAGGAGGAGATTAGCAGCGATGTGCGATTCACTGACCGAGCGCAAAACAGTTTCAAATAGAAATGATCAGATATTATTATTGAAATTCATCAGAAAAGTGCTGAATCGAACGCAATCGAAAGCACAAAAGGACATTTGTGTTCTCAGCTTTTGTGTGTGTTTCAATTACAGAATGTTATTGTGGGAATGCTTGTTAGAAAAAAAATCTGTATTATTAAAGCTGGGTTGCTTAAATTTTCCCATAAACAATACATTTTAATTATCCAACATTAACAGTTTTGTAAAAGTAAAATGTTGAGAACAAATCAGAGCCCAACATACACTTTTATTTTGCATACTTATAAATCCAATCCAATCCACTTTATTTATATAGCACATTTCATAAACACACAGTCTCCAAAGTGCTGTACAACATGCAAAATGGCAACAAATAAATACACACATTTATATAAAAAGAGTAAAAATATAAAATAAAAATAAAAACACAGAGGACCACACGACTCACGCAGTGTTAAAAGCGGGTCTAAAGACGAAACTTAAAACATTCCACCGAGGGAGCTGTTTTGACGTGGGGGGGCAGAGCGTTCCAGAGCCACAGAGAAGGCCCTGTCCCCCCAGCATAAAGTGCCCGGGGAGTCACTGTTGGACTCTTTGGGCTCAGTTTGGGTGCTCCTCTCTTTGTCACTTTGTTGTCTAAACAATCTATTCTAAAGATGTGACAGAGGCCGGACATGCAAACTAGAATATATTTTATTTTATTGTTTCATGCTGATTTATGTATATAGATATTTGTTTTATTTTATTTAAATCTGGCGGACTTGTGTATTTTAATGTGTTTTATTCATCTATTTATTTTTAATTTGTATTATTTGGTTGGGACAGTGCATGTTAATGAACACATGTCTCTGGATTGTAGCCTTTCCCACAGTCGCACTCACAAACACATACTCATTCACCCTGAACTATTGGTAGGGGAAACCAGACACGGGGAGAACATGCAAACTTCACTCAGAAAGGCCCTGTTCTGACCGGGATTTCAACCCAGAACCTCCCATCCACTCAGCCGCCCTATGTGTTACTTCTATCTGTGCAGCACTTTGGAGCCCTATTTTGCTTTGTCAAACATACACATCGGATTTTCCCATATTTCTTTTACAGCTGCACTTGTTGCTCTGTTACTGTTGGACAAAGCCTCACAAAGTCTATTGTGAAAGGGCCGCTTTTGAGCTTGAAACAATATTTCTTGGAGATATCGCATGACAGAAGCGGAAGGATCCAGTCGACGTCTTGTGAACGCAACTTGGGATTAATGAGAACATTTTCAAACTTATGTCGTCGACAAAAACGCACACATGATCTGTTTTTATTCTCTTTCCTCTAAGACTACAAAAGGAAGAAGGAATCATGTCTGTTTTGCTCATTATAGTCCAAATGTTTTTTTAAATCCATACTTAAGACATATTTATTCAGACTGGCTTTTGATACTCAGTAGCACGGCGACACTTTAGTTTCTCATGGTTTTATCTGACTGTTTTATTGTTTGGTTGTATGAATGTTTTAACAGATTTTATGTGATTTTATTGTAAAGCACTTCGGTCGCCTTGTGTGTTGTAAAGGGCTCTATGAATAAAATTTGATGGATCAATTGATTGAAATGTTTGTGGCAATTCTCTGTTTTTCTTTGCGTATAGTCAATGGGCGGCACGGTGGCTGAGTGGATAGCACTCTCGCCTCTCAGCAAGAAGGTCCTGGGTTCGAATCCCGGTTGGACCAGGGCCTTTCTGAGTGGAGTTTGCATGTTCTCCCCGTGTCTGCGTAGGTTTCCTCCGGGTGCTCCGGTTTCCCCTACCACTAAAAATATGTACAATAGGTCTGGCATGTGCCTCCTGTACTGGCACCCCCACTCCCAAAAATAACAATTGTAAATCGCTTTGAGACTCCGATGTGCAGTGAAAAGGCGGTATATAAATAAAGATTACAATGTTATGGAAAAATGTAATTATTCAAAATGACCTACTGATTAACCCACATACACATCTATCAAATGGACAAGTTACATATCGCCACAGACGTTCACAGAAGGTCCTTGGTCTGATTCCCGCTCCAGGCCTTTCTGTGTGGAGTTTGCTTGTTCTCCCTGCGTCTGCGTATGTTTCATCTGGGTGTTTCCCCTTCCACTATAGAAACATTTACGATAAGAGATGGTTGAACGAGAGGACTAGAGATGAAAATTAGCAACAAAATCTTCAATTCGGTGTATTTACAATTACTTACATGATTGTGTGACGTCTACCACAACTTTCCTCTGACATAGAGTCTGATAAAATGTTCAAACTTAGGCCAAGAATGCAAGAGGACCTTCTGACCTCTGGAGATGCTGACCTGTTTACATGTCTGACCACAGAACAACACTCATGAACTATTGTTATGATGACATTCTATTGGTTAATCAGTGCAACTTTGGTTCCTATTGGAAGAGGAGACACAAACAGATGATTGTGCTGAGGTAAAATTGCGATGTAGTTTGCATAGTATTTCACAATAAAACATAAAAATAACATTAACGTAAAAATCTGAAAATAATAATAATAGTAAGATAAGATAATATTGTGATTAAAAAAAAACGCAACATCTGTTAATATACAATGCAGGTGCAGATGCAGACCACACTTTGACGGTCCACACAATAAAACACTTCCTCCCACTAAGTATCCAGTCTGGTGTTCCTTGCATCATGGATTCTTTGCCTCTGCTTCTCCGTCGATCTTGAACATAATAAATAGGCCAACCACTTATGATCATTTTGGCTCAGCTCAGAACCATGACTTCACCATCCAAATAAACAAATGACAAAAGAGAGTAAGTAAGTCATGTTTATTGATATAGCACATTTTTACAGACCAAGGTCAACCAAAGTGCTTTACAATGTTCAGAGTTCAGATATTTTTCCATTCTTTCCACACACGGTGGTGACGGAAGCGAAACGGCGAATGCACTCGCCCCAACCAACACCATCCATTCACTCACTCCTTACATTCATACCTATTGTGCATGTTTTTAGTTGTAGGAGAGCACCTGGAGGAAAGCTAAGCAGACATGGGGGGAACATGCAAACTCCACACAGAAAGGCCTGGAGATGGAATCGAACCTAGGACCTCCCTCCGTGTCGCCAGAACAGAAAAAGAAACCTCTACAGCTTTATTGACACGGTTGACTTTCAATCATGTCATGTGATTGGTCGGCTTAGTTTTGAAGGAAGTCTATTGGGATGTTCCTAACGTGGGGTCCGTGTGTGTGTGTGTGTGTGTGTGTGTGTGTGTGTGTGCGCAGGTCCTCACCTTCCCGTCCCAGGTGGTCTACAACCGCGTGGGGAAGTGCGGCAGTCGCACCGTCGTCATGTTGTTGAAGCTTCTGGCAGAAAAGCATCACTTCAACCTGGTGTCGTCCGAGATCCACAACAAGACACGCCTCTCCAAACACGAGCAAGTGAGACAGACGCCAGATGAAATGATCAACCATCCATCCGTTTTCTTCCGCTTTGTCCATTTCTGGGTGGGAGGGTGGCAATCAGAGCTGCATACAATTCACAAAGCATTAGGGTTGCCAATTTGAGAACAGAAAAATAAGGGACACCATTTGGGTGGATCGGGTTGAGCACTTTTTAGCCCTAATTTCAATCTACACAGGAATCAGTTTTTAGAATTTGATTTATTGACTTCATTTATTAAAAAAGAGACAAATGCTGTAACAAACATTATTATGTATGTTACAGTAAAGACTTTACTGAAAAAAACAATTTTAAAAAAGAAAAACATATGTATTCATTTAAAATGTATTTTAAAAAATTGTTTAAATCAAAGTCTGTAGCAGATAGATATGGTCGTTATTTATAGTGTCTGAGAGTTTAGTGCGTGTACTAGCATCACGTAAAAGCATAACATGTAAAATAACAATTTAAAAAAATACTTTCCCACTTTCTGCATGAGGTAGCACTTATTCGGTGATTGGCGGCACTGCGCTTTTAACGAGAGTCTGCCGTGTCAGTGCTGCATTCATGGAACAAGGACGAGGAAAAAATTAGGGAATCCTTTTATTATTTCCTGGAAAATCCTGAGGACATTAGTGTGGCTTTGAACAGGAAAAGATGTGTTCGTTTACAAGAAAGTCCTGCTGTACTGGGCAGCATTTGTATATACCACTTTAAAACCTTCTATTTTTTCACTTTTTTCCATCTGTATTAGTGTATATACATAAAATCAACAAAACAAAAATGTAAATATGTTTTTCCAGCAGTAGAGGAGTGTGACTGGGCGCTGTGCTCTTTGCTCCGAAGCAGCTTCCAACACTAACCACAGTTTTGGCAGAACATCTGTGACCAGGTGACTCCAGGCCATTGTGTCTTCGTACATTTATATTGGAGATTTTTGCGTCCCAAATAATCCCAAGACTTTTTGTTTTTGTGTATTAGAACATGCATGGCCAAAAGCTCCACTCTGTAATGTTTTAACCAAGAAAATATCGACTATGATTATGACCTTTCTCACTGGGTTTTTGAGGTTTTCCATGTCGATGTTGGAGAATCAACAGTGGAGAGGATCCGGGACATTTATGGACATTTATGGACATTTATGGACATTGTTCATCCCGCTCCCTATTAAGAGATCCATTATTCATCTCCCACAGTAGGGACATATCAGTGTTGCATCCCCAGTTCGAGAACAGTAACACAAAACACAAGATTAATGAAGAATAAATCTATTCTAAAATAAAACAAAATCTTGCACTTTCGCATATTAAAAAAGCAAATATAAAATACTGTTTATTCCCGTGCAAGAAATACCTATGGACCAAAAGCCCTTTGTGTTTGTTATTATTGCATGTTCTGTGTTTGAATGGTTTGATTCTCTGATCTGTTGTTGGCGAATCGACAACTTTGATTATGGTGAATGATCCATAAGGGGTGGATCCGCTGAGTGTTTAGCACTTTCGCTTCTCTGCTAGAAGGTCCCGAGTTCGAATTCCAGTTGAAACTGGGTCTTTCATGAACAACGGCGACCACTTCTCCTGATGGACGCCCTAGTGCAGGGGTCGGCAACTCAAAAGATTTAAAGAGCCATATTTGACAACAACAACAAAATCTGTCAGTAGCCGCAAAAAAATAACAGCCTTGTAAAGGCTTATATGAATGTAACACAGGCTGAAGCTGTTATAGCTATATTAGCCTAATATCTAAATGACAAAGTAAAGGCTACAAGTACATAATAAGGATTCATGATTCTCAAATGTGTATTTTCACTGCAGCGTGTCCTGGAGAGAATGATGCTCCACGTGATGACGCTACTTTAATTTTAACTTCCATTTTGTTGCGTTCATGTAATTGTAGAAATACAGTAAATAAATCTGCTTTTTGGCTCAGAGTTCACGCACTGTCTGTTCATATCGATCACGTCACAGGTTGGAGTCCTTTCTTCCACTGTCTTTGCAGAGGTTTTTGATCCTAAATCATCCTAAATCCCAAAATGTTCATAGCTGTTTGTTGCATATCTTTTAAAACATCAGTTTGGTGTCACCTAATCGTCTCCCAAATATCAAACTCACACATGTCACAACAGCAATCGTGAGTAACTTTGATTCCTGCCAAACTGTTGACACATCTCTGACGTATCTTAATGACAAACTTTTCCATGTAACTTTGTTAAGGTCACTCTATCTGTGACTCACTTCCTGTAGCTCCTGCAGTCAGCGTAAAGTAGTGGCTACAGAACAGAAGTGACCATAGAGTTTTTGCCCATTTCGTCACCTCAGGACCACAAAGATATTGCTTTTTTTCCTAAAAGAAAGTATCAGACGATTGTGAAGTGAGAGAAAATTATACATTATTGTGTTATTATTTAGAAAATCAAATACTGAAAAGTGGGGTCTGTGTAACGTCAGTTTGCCTCAGCTGTTTCTGATGTTCTGCAAACCTGTGTGTCTCACGACAGCCGAAGCAAACCAAGATGGACGGACATGAAGTCTGTGAATTGTTAAAAAAGTTTAAATACGAACACCAATGTCACTTTTAATGCAATTTGAGGCGAGATGTTGATGGTTCCATGTTGTTATATGTGGGTTTTAAGAGTAAAAGTTTGGTTTAAGTAACTGCTCCAATTAAGTAACTTTATCAATTTTGTTTTGGTTTTGTCATTGTGTAAATGCGATGGCCTGCTGTAATTCTTCACTTAATATAATGTAAACTTAAAATATATTAAGTAAATATTACTGAATTCTAATCATCTGCAAAGTGTAAATAAATATACAGTATGTATATATATACAATATAGAATGAATAAAGAGGCTAAGCTGTATTTGGTTCCACTTAAGCAGCATTTTAACTGCTGATTAAGATGCTCAAATGAAACTGTATTTTCATACGTCTCATTATATTGTCAAACTTATACTGTTAAAACTGTGAAAATATGATGCAAATTTATGCAGTGTGCTTCGACGATAGAAAGGGCCGCTATCATACAGTCGTGTGATTGACAGGAGCAGTCACTTAAACCAAACTTTACACAAAACTTTTACTCCTAAAACCCACATCTCACAACACGGAACCATCAACATCTCGCCTCAAATGTATTAAAAGTGACATCCATGTCTTAATTTGTTCGTATTTAAACTTTTTAAACTGACTTTATGTCCGCCATCTTGGTTTGCTGCGGCTGCTGTGAGACACACAGGTTTGTTGCCCATCATGAACAGCTGAGGCACCGAGAAGGCGGTGAACATACAGCATGAGAGAATACTTGGAATCGCCTTTTGTTGCAATCGCATCAGCTTAACTTTTGGGGTTTTACTCTAAGCTTTGAACATCTAGAGACTGAAAGTTTTGATCTGCATTTCGGATTGCCTACACAGAAAGTTAGAGTGGACAATCATTTCTTTATGACATGTGAATTATTGTCATGTCCATAAGTTTATTTTAATGAATTAATACACACACACACACACACACATAAATAATGGTGACAAACCTGGTGTCCGAGAGGTCTCCCATCACACTACTCACCACCCCTTGTTCTACTTTGCTTCTGAGATCTCCTGGGATCAGGACAAAAAGTAGATGTGAAAGGTTTTTCTCATTTTCTCATTTTGACGGGTTCAGGGATACGATTGTGCTTCAGTCTATGTGTTCCTGTTTTGTCCTTCAGGGCCACCGTATGGGAAGATTTCATGGTAATTTTATAGCAATATTGAAACAGTGACTTGTTTGCTCATTCATCACCGCGGGGTTCCACTGGGGACCATTACACTCGTTAGATTTCAGGTATAAAAGCAGTATCTGTGAGACCCAGTGCAGGCCACATGTGCGTGCTGCTGCTGCCTGTTGATCTATGCAAATTCACACAAGCTAAATTTAGAAACTTGTGGTTTTAACTCAGCGTTGGAGTCCTTGGAGCCACAAAAAACTATACTTGTCATATTATTGCCAAACGAAGGTGGAAGAAGAAACTGTAACTAAGTAAAAGACCAAAGGACTTGGGAAAGATCCATTTGTTACTCATCCTGAAGTTATGACGGCAAACCCTTTTACTTACCTATGTTTTGGTCACACTTTAGTTTAGCACTCACTAATGAACAGCTAATTAGTGTATAACTAATGCTTAATAAGATCTTAATTGTTATTTATTATTAGTCCTTATTCTAGAGTGCCTTATTCAACCTGTGCCTTAACTAACTACCAACTGACATTTACCCATGTGGGTTAGGATTAGGATTAGGATTAGGATTAGGGTTAGGGTTAGGAAACACTAACAAGCACTTAATTAGCTGTTAATTAGTGATGTCTAATCCAAGTGTTACCTGTATTTTTATAATGTACAATGTTTGGCTAATGGGGCTTCCTGGGAGTTTCCTTTCACAGAGCAGTGATGAATCATGGGAGTTATTAAAGTGTATGACCTTTTGTGAATGTTATTTTCACATAACGTATGAATAAGCATTTGTAATACACCAGATGGCTTAGTGTCGTGCCTCTTAGTACAAATCATTCAAAAACATAAGAAAAAGGAACATATATTTGAGCCTAGGACCATAAATCTTGCACCCGGTTCTTTGCATTCTGGCAAACACAAACTGTATATGATTTTCAGGCTTCTAGAACTAGATTTTCACTGCCCTGAAATGCTATTCAATTAATGTATTCATGTCTAGCCCTAAATCACAACAGTAGTTATCTCAGAGGACATAACAAAACTGATGAATTCGCCAACACAGATGCAATAATAAAAAACACATAGAGACATTGGTCCATAAGGGGCGGGCGACCAATGTCCATAAATGTTGTTGAAAGTTGAGTTTCCTGGAGCATCACCCCTGTCCTGACACCCTCCTGCATCGGCAAGGACAAACTCTTAAACTGGGCTATTTGACTTAGTGTTGTTTTCACTGTGGTCTCATACAGAAAATCACTCAAAACACTATAAAAAAAGGGCCAAAGACCA